TTTTTTTTTTTTTGGTACTGGGAACAGAACTCAGGACCTTGTGCTTGCCAGGCAGGTGCTGTGCCACTGAGCTATATACCCAGCCCTAAAACACACCTTCAAATTCCTCCTGAACCTCTCCTCGTAGGTAAAGACTACTTCCTACCTTCCTTGAACATGGGCTAGCCTAGGGAGTCACTTTTTAGACAACACTATGTAACCAGGTTTCTTGGGTGCTGTACACTCCTTTCTCCAAAAGAGAGCACGGGGGTGATGAGGTTGAACATGGCCATCTTCTGTAGCCGCCCTGTTCTGATGTCAGATCTAGGCTATCCTATCAAAATCCTGCTTCATCTCGGCAGTTTGCAGAACTAAACATAGCATCTTCTGATTGGTCACAGGTGCAGAGCTTGGGTGCCTGAGTTGTGGATCTCTAAAAGATTGACAGGTCACACCCACTTGTACAGCTGGATGGCTACACCCTAATTTCCTGCCTCACTGGGGAGTGAACCCAGAACCTTCCCATTAAACTATATCCCCACCTCTCTTTGTATTTTTAAAATTTTGAAAGAGGGTCTCTCCAAACTGCACAGGCTGGGCTGGAATTTACAGTCCTCCTGCCTCAGCCTTCCAGAGTGCTGGGATTACAGGCATTCCCCCCGCCTATCACCTATCTAGAAGAAAAGATGAAAGATTAACCTGTCCGAGAGGTACCTGGGTGGGACGTTGACTATGACTCCACCTCATCCCGTCTAAGTCACTCTTGAGCCTTTGATGGGCCCCAGAGGTCCCTCCCTGCCTGCCTCACGGCCTGGCTGGGGGACACCGCCCCACTCCTGAGTCACCACTCCTCTGCTTCAGCACGCAAAGCTGGGTCATGGAGTTATTGATGTCCAGAGCCGGTCCTGCAACCACGCATCTGCCAGGCAGGTGGAGGGCATGCGTCCTCCACGTCTGTACTGTCAGTGATCAGCGGGGCCATCCGCAGATACTTGCTGAGCGAATAACAAGAGCCCCTTTAGCCTTTCCTGCGGCTCCCCTCTCCTCAAGGGAGGGACACAGGCTTCTCCAGGCAAACCCAATCAGTTGGGCGTAGGGTGGTATTTGACTTACTTGGTGATTTTAAGTCAATGCTTTTGAAAAGCATTTTTTGTAACTTAAAGTAGCATGATTGTAACAGAAAATGCCCCTCAGCCAGTATACTTCAGTTTGTCAGGTGCCCAGGTAATAGTTCCTGTTCCAGATCCGGTTGCTCCTGTCTCCTAGAAATGACTGGCCACTGTGATGCACACTGGATAAACCCATCCCCAATTGACAAGCCATTCTGCCTCTGTACTTCCTGCCTGCTTATCGTATGCAAGCCCTAGACCACCAGAGATCGGGGCCTGACCTGGGAATGATCCT